TGTTAGTCGAAGGAAGTGGAATTGGGTCCTAAATATCTTTGAAGAATGAGCAATCACGAAAAGAGGAATATAAAGAAAAGGTGTGATCGCGAAGATGCAGAGGATCAAATTGAACAGCATGAGGTTTCAGATAAAAAGGAGGCGTCTGTTTGTGATATCGGGTTTAATGCACTTAACGTAGAAAGTATGAAAGAAAGGCATGACAAAGTTGAAACAAAGGGGGAAAGCTGCAAAAATATTGTTATTACCACTGATGAGACGAAAATTGAAATCTGTTATAAGTAACGGAAACTGTAAGTTACGAACCTTCCTTATATTAAAAATACTTATTGTGGTGTTTTTGGTTGTTTCTAGTCAGTAAAAAAATACGGGGGAAGTGGATATATGCATGTAAAACAAGCTGCATTAATAAAACTAAAACACACAGCATTATTTTTAATAATGCTGCTTGTTTTAGATTTAATAACGCTGCGTGTTTCAATAATGCTGCGTGTCGATTTAGCACGTGTAAGATTACCCCTGATAATTTCCCTGCTACCAAAAAGGACCGCACCCGTTTTTCTCACACAGTTTGTTTGCATTATTTTTCTCTCGACATTCGGTGATATAATGCAGACAGAAAACAATGGGTTTGGATGACTACCAGTAATTATAAAAGAAATAAAATAAACTACCACTAACAATAAAAAAGGATAAGTTTCCAAAGAAACTGTGGTGCTGCATCGGTGGAGGTAACAAGGTAATTCGGTAATATCAACTGAGTTGAAATTGTAAATTGGCCACCGTCAAGGGTTAAAAAGCCGACGTTTCAAGCGGTAGCCCTTCGTCAGAGCGAAACTAGCCCTCTACCCCTACCGCTAGCAATGCTTTGATTTGTACTTAACTGGTTCGACAACCAGAGCCACTGGAAAGTATTTATTTTCATCCTCTTTCACCTTATCTACACTGTCCTCTTCCGTAAATAGGAACAATCCATACGCTATCACAGCTTCTTTCAGATCAGCGTTAGTCATTGTTAGATCCGTCAAACGACTAGCTCTTCCAGGCTGTGCAAAGGTGTGCGTCATTTTATTGTTGGCATAGTTGTAACAGTTGTTATTCCACACTGTAGGCCGAACGTTCCACCGAGCAGGTTGGTATGGTTGGGTAAAACGTCTCTTCCTAATGTTACGAGGATCGAATTATTTTTACTGAATCTGTCACGCAATCCCAGACTTTTCTAGAATTATCTATAATCTGTAATATTCCACAAACTTCTTTCATTTGACTTAGCAGTTTCCAAAAATAGTACAACTTGTAATACGCTATAAATAGTAATAGAACATTCTAGATAACTAAGTAAATGTATAAAAGCTTGCTTATGAGAAGTACAAAAAGCAGATTTGCCCGAGGGCTTACCCTCGTGGCTTGCTGACTGAAGTTGTGGAAGCTATGATGTGACAAGGCTATGACCTTTTGACCTTGCGATATCCGGAGAGAAAAAAGAGAAGAAAAAGACGATAGCCGAGAAGGGAAGAAGATAAAGAATGCAGAGTTCACTATGAAGTCCTCCGGAAGAATTTGTGTACACGGAAAGAAAGTCATGAATCAAGAAAGCCAAGCGCTGTGGTCTTCAGTCGGCGGAAGTTAGAATTGGAGGTTGATCAAGACGATGAACACTTCCACGGCATAAAGGATTGTAAGCCTCCTTTATGAACTGCTTAACTTAATCTCTAACCTAAGTAGATTAAACAGTGTAAAACTAATTAAATAATAGTTGAAATGGGTAACTGCTTGTTGTTACATTTTTGTTGCGTGCCATATATCGTACTCGGGAGTCTATTTTTATGTATGCTTTGTTAGCGGACATTTGTTGGTCATTTGTGCACGTAGCACTAACAACCGGAGTCTCAACGTTACTTCTTCCTCCACCCTTGGCACCGCCCTTATTCGGTTCTACCTTGCCAACGTCCTCTATAAGACTATTTTTAAAATCCTTTGGTGAACCCAGCTTTGCTGAAAGATTCTCAGGAATAGAGTCAGTCAAAAGCTTTTGAAGATGGCTACTTTTGGAGCCCACTACCAGCTCCCCAAAGCTTATTACCAGCCTCCTGTATCCAAGCCTCGAAGGTATCTTAGCAAGAGAATGAGTACTGCCGTTCTCCCTCGCTTTCGTAACACTGGTCAGTAGATCTTCAAAGCCTTTTGTCTTTGTTTGGAATATTCCACCAAATATCTGGTCGACCAGAAAAAAGAAGAAGTTGAACCACCAACCCATCTGGGAAACGAACAAAAATATGTCACGATAACTCCTTTCTTTGTTCTATTTGTTGGTAGTCGTATCTATAATGGTGAACAAATCTTTGGAAAAATGTAAGTGGTCCTATTACCATTTACAGTAGTAACAATGTTATATCCTGAGTGTTTGGAGAGGTTTTAGGTCAGGCTAAATTGTAATCATTATTGTTATCATTATTGTTGATATTATCATGATTATTACTATTATTATCATCATTATCATCATTTTCATTATCATTATCAACGGGTCGGCTGGTATAGAACAAAAACAAAAAACAACAACTGACTGTCGTGATAAACCTCGAGTAACCAGTTGATACAAAACTTACAAACTGATTTCAAATAAGTGAGAATCATCGAAATGTTTAAATCGGTCTTTTTTTCATCGCCTTCTTTCTTTCCTTGAGATCCTGGAATTTGACAATTTACTAACTTGCCCTATTCACTGTTGTATCTATTTATTTTGTTCTTGGAAAAATATTTGACGAGTCCACCGGCTAAATCGGTCAAGTAAAGTTAGCTAAATTGCAAGCAAGAATCGCACTCAACTGAGACGTTTAGTTTATATTTGCGACATTATTTGCGACATGGCTGCGTTTGAAATTCCGGATATAAAGTTACTATAATATGTAGGAAGGCAGGGTAAAAAGAACAGAAAACAATTAAAAAAACGGAAAGAAAAAAAACAGACCAAAACAGTACAACAAGCTCCAGTCATGACCCTTTTTCCGGTTTTCGGTCACTTTTCGTAACGAAATAGCAAAAAAAAAAAAAAAACCCTTGCGGTTTCGCCTGAGGAAATCGTAAAAAAAAGTTTAAAGCTTTCTCCCACAAAGCCTCTTGTTTGTCAACACTTTATTTAAGTTAGTCAGTGATTAAGCTGGTTGTTAATCAAATAAAAAAAAATGACATGGTCGCTGATATAATGTAGCTCATTTAAAGAAAGTACCTGTATGTGCTGTGTTAAGTCAAGATCAAGAGAAAATTTTGACTTTGTTTCCTTGAAAGTATGCTTAGCCTTATATTAAAAGGGATAAATTTACAAAAATAAGCAAAGGAAGGTAGGAAGTAAAGGTTTCTTTTTTTATTTTTGGGAAGTTCAGTTAGTAAGTTTGTCTTATTAGCTTCCCCCCTTACCGTGCCTCTTCAAATATCATAAACTGAATGAAGTAATTCAAAAGGTTTAGATTTTTTACCGGATGATACTGAAAATATCTATTAACATGTCCTTGGTTTGGTTTATTTGTCTGTTTGTTTGTTTGTTTGTTTGTTTTTCATGGTGTGCTTCCCCCCTTACCGTGCCTCTTCAAATATCATAAACTGAATGAGGGAATTCAAAAGGTTTAGATTTTTTACAGGATGATACTGAAAATATCTATTAACATGTCCCTAGTTTGGTTTATTTGTCTGTTTGTTTGTTTGTTTGTTTTTTTTCATGGTGTGATATGGTCATAAGTTGTAGTTTGCATTTTTCTCCTTTTTTCCAATCGAATTGACGGGTAATAATGTTATAGGAAAATTTATTACCTGAAGAGGAAATTCCGCGTTAAATTCCACGCAAAAACCGATATCGCACGAATCGCGAAGCGATTCGTGCGATATCGGTTTTCAAGTGCAATTTAATGCGGAATTCACGAGTGAAGTAATGGATTTTCCTCGAATCGCATAACGGAATAAAAATGAGAGAAAAAAGGAAAGAGCAGTACTTAAAATTGTTGTGCTTACGTAGATGTGAAACAATATCCCTTAGCCTCGTTTTCAACTCGCAATTCCACGCTAAATACCTCGCTTCGTTAACCAATCAGAATGCGAGATTTTATTAAATGATGCGATTCTACTAAAAACTGCTTCGCTAAAGGAATAGGCCTCATACCTAGTCTGGAACATAATAAGAGTCGTAACCGATTAAGAGAACAAGATTTCTCAGCACAACGAAATGGCAGAATCTACATAATTTTATATACGTTTTAGAGAGCACAACTTTCCAGATTAGTTTGCAATTCTTCATTAAGACATTAAAAGGTACGTTCAGTTCAAATTGGGAACCACACAAATTAATTTTTTTTCCCCTACAGCCAAAGGTAATTCCTCAGAAATAAAAAGGTATCTAACACTTTTTTCGAAACTTTTCTTAGATGTTCACTACCAGTGTCTGTTTCGGGCAAGAGGTTGCCAAGCACGAAACACGCTCATAGCGTGCCTCGAATCGTTGCTTTCAATCTTTCAAGGTCATATTTTGGATCCTAGAGTAACGAAGACAGCATGAATGCTACCTCTACAGACAAATTGAAGAACACACCTAACAAAAAGTTGTTACCCGATGGTTCCTTGACTGACCTGTCCTTCCTAATTATCTCCTTAGGAGTTTTGTTCGAGGCGGCTTATCCTCATCACAACATTTTACAGCTTTCCAGTATATTGTGCGACTCTAAATCTGAAATGGTCAAATGATCAGAGATCACCCGACTGTCGCGATGGCATGAAGATTTACAGGTAATTAAGAGAAGATCTCATCGATTAGGCCTTAATGAGAATAAACTTTGACGCCTGAAAACCGCTCAGCCGTGCAAGGTCAAAGTCTTGGGCTTAGTCCGTAGTCCCTGAGTCCGTAGTCCTAATTCTCGGTTCTCTTCGTCCCTAATGCCTCTTAGTTGCCTGAGGAGTGAAAATCCGCTTGTGTGGCACCAACATTTTAATTGTGCAAATAATGGCTGACACAGAAAGTGATTAAACAATACCCTTTTATTTGAAATAGCTTTACAAAGCTATAGCTTAAAACCATAGGGTTACACAATGTGCGAAACGAACTCTTTGTGATCAAAAGATCACAACAGCAGTGGAGACCTTCATGTAGGTGACGAATACATAGCCACCCATATCACAATCTGGAACACTCCTTATCTCATTTCCGGAATTATCGAGATTAGTCGCGGGGGTTTGACCAGGCTTGTGGGACCACTCACTGTTTTCGTTTAGGACAAACCAGTGGAAGTCAACAGCTGTGATACAAGGAAAGACAGCAGGTTTTTCAGAATATTGCGCAACTCTTATTGAATTAATTTTACCTTCTGACTGTTGGCAGGAGGAGGGGCGGAGGATTTTGGTTGTGAAAGACGGCCTGCTCCCTCTCTCTTCCCCTTGGAAACAATTTCATCCCCCCCTTAAATCCTCCTTATCCCCACCTTCACCCAATAAATAACGACCGATCCCCAATGAAATGCAAATTAATTAAAGCATGCTACTATTACATCAAGAGGACTTCAAACACAAAGCAATTTTAGCGGGATAATTCTATTTTAACAGTCTACGTCGTATATTGACTCCAAAGGTTAATGCAGCGTTGATTGCTATTAAAAAGGAGAAAACGCCTTTTGATGGGTCCATGGATCCATCGATGAGGTAGCTAAGTGGAGACTTCCTAATTTAGGATGCTGCATTGAAATTGATTGCTTTTCCTCAGGTCTGATTCTCGAACCTTGCTGCTTTTGTTCTCATGTTGGCTAGTTGACTTGAAAGACATTTAAGAGCTTTTTGTGTTGGAGAAAAAAGAAAAATTCGAAACTGCTTAATTTGTATCAGAGTCGCCTCTCAGTCAATACTTCTCCGCCAATTTAGTCTATTTTCTTTATTTGAGGGCAATGATGCGATAAAAGATGTGCCTATAGCCCACTAAAGCAAATTCAGTCATAGGAGGTGTCATAATTAATCTGAGATATTAAATTAACAATGGCAACGCTTTGATTTGTACTTACCCCGCTCGACAACAAGAGCCACCACAAAATCGGTCGATTTCTCTGGCAGGTTGAGTTGTTCCATGGCTACCAATCCATCTCTTTCTGCTGCGGCTTGCACAGCATCGGGAGTCATTGCTGCATATATCTGACCCGCAGCTCTTCCAGGCTGTGCAAAGGTGAACGTCATTCTATTAGTGGCATAGTTGTAACAGTTGTTAGTTATAACTGCAGGCCAAACGTTCCATAGACCGGGTCGGTACGGGGGAATAAAACGTTTCTTTCTATCATCGTCCGCCATCGGTTCTACCGTGTCAACCGCTTTTTTTAGCCCAACTATATACGTATCCGGCAGTTGGTTCTTTGGAATGGTATCAAGCAAAAGCAATTGAAGTTTTTTAGATGCGGTACCCACTACCAACTCCCCAATGCCTATTACGAATCCCCTGTATCCAAGCCTCAAAGGCATCCTTTTTAGAGAATAAGTACGTTGTTCTTTCCTCGCTTTCGTCAGACTGGTCTGTATATCTCCCAAGCCTTTGTGGTTAGTTGGAATATTCCACCAAATATTTGGTCGACCAGAAAAACAAAGAAGTGTCACCAGTAACCCGTCTGGGAAAGGAACAAAAATCTGTAAAGATGACTACTTTTTTGTGCGTGTTCTTACGTCATCTGTGATCTATTGCTCGGCGGAACAGAAGCACAACAACATTAAATTTGTTAGAAGTCTTTTCTATAACAGATGAAGTCATATCTGATAATGCAAACTTTTGGATTAAAGAAAGGAAAACAAAAAGCAGATGAGGATTATTAGGACTCGACAGTTGGTCAAAGAAATTAACCAAAATTTGAAGAGTGCATTCTCTTCGTCCTATACCGAGAATTTTTCATAGAGGGAAAGAAATCTTATTATTGGTAGTGTACACAACGATAATAATCTTAAGTGATTATGGTGAATAAGGGTTTCTCATTGTTAAAAGAAAAAAGGAGTAGGGCGAAGATGATGATAATCTACATTTACGTATGTAAAGTTCTGATGATAATTGTAATTTCATTAAAAATACTAATACTGGTAATAACAATATAGCAACACTTCGATGGTGATAATTATGAAAATGCTACTACTACTAATGACAATAATGGTAAAAGAACGAAAAAAGATACAAACCTGATACTGCACAAAAAACGAAGAAAGGCAGCAAGATTAAGCAGACCTTATTAATACGGGCCATCACGCCTTAATGTGCTCACGCCGCAGTAGTCTGTCCTCCACAAAGAAAAATAGTTCTGCAACGTTAATAATTGCCTTTTACGCAATCTGCCTCTTAAGTGGAAAGTAATTATACTGGCGAGGGGTTCTTAACAAGAGAAATAAGGAACGAACAAGAAAGCAACGACTGTCGTGCCGATAAACTTTGAGTAACGAGTTGATGTAAACCTTATAAGCTGAGTTAAACTGAGTGAAACCTCTTTTTAGTGCTTTCTTTCTTTCATCGATTTATTGAAATTTGACAATTTACTAGATTGCAATAATTCTTTTATTCTTGGAGAAACATCTGATGAGTCCACTGTCTAAATCGGTCAAGCAAAATTAGTTAAGTTGCAAGCAAAAATCATACTCCAGCAAACATTAAGTTGATATTTATCATTACAGCGTGCTTGCGTGTAAAATTCCAGAAATAAAGCTAATTTATCATCTAGGAGGCGGAAAGAAAAAGCAGAAGAGTGTACAGAAAAATGCAACAGAGATAACAACAATAACAACGACAACTTCAACAAAAAGCAGAAAAAAAAAAAAGAAAACAGTACAACAAGTTACAGTCACTTACTCGCACCCAAAGAAATCTTGACTAAAATGAAGAGTGGACTGGTGTATTCTCCGCTTACCTCGTTTAAGAAGCCTTTCACTGGTGAGAGATCCTCAAATGACTACTTAGTTTCAAACGAATGGTTTTGTTGTCAATAGACATTTATAATTTATACTCAAAAAGGCCATTCCAAGATTCTGAAAACACACAGGCTTCCTCTTTTAGTTCCGGCAATGAGTAAGCAATAAAACTCTCGCTTTGTCAATGATGCAAGAATAATGAATAAAGGGTGAATAGTTACTCAAAGCTTAAAAGCCAAGGAAGGAGAATAAGGAGGTTTATACTATCTCACTTTATTTATGGTCTTTTTTTCGCTTTTCTGACAAATTCTTAAATAATGAATAAAAAATCCTGTAATAATAATAATGAATAAAAATCCCGTGGTTGAAAGCTTTTACCCGCGGAGCTTCTTGTTTGTCAACACTTCATTTTAATTAGTCAGTGACTAAGCTGGTTGTTAATCAAATAAAGAAAATGACATGGTTGCTGATATGACGTAGCTCGTTTTAAGAAAGTATATAGACATGTGTTATTTTCAAGCAAGATTCAGAGAATATTTTGACTTCGTTTCCTTGATTATTATTATATTATTATATTATTATTATTATTATTATATTATTATATTGATTGATTGTTATTTTAATTAGTCAGTGACTAAGCTGGTTGTTAATCAAATAAAGAAAATGACATGGTTGCTGATATGACGTAGCTCGTTTTAAGAAAGTATATAGACATGTGTTATTTTCAAGCAAGATTCAGAGAATATTTTGACTTCGTTTCCTTGATTGAAAACATGCTTGGCCAGATATAAAAAAAATGTCGATCCTTTCAACAAAATAAAAAGAAAGGTAGATATCAAAGAGTCTTTTTTAAATTCTACGAAAGATCAATAAGGGGGTTTTTCTTTACTCATTCTCTCGCAAAGATACCTTTGAGGTATCTTTGCGAGAGAATGAGTTCCGCCCTTCTCCCTCGCTTTTGTCAGATTGGTCACCATATCTTCAAAGCCTTTGTATTTGTTTGGAATATTCCACCAAATACTGGTCGACCAGAAAAACGAAAAAGTTGAACCACTAACCCATTTGGGAAACGAGCAAAAATATGTCACGATAACTACTTGTTTTTGTTCTATTTGTTAGTAGTCGTATCTGTTACGGTAAACAAACTTTTGGAAAAATGAAAGTGGTCCTATTACCATTAATTATAGTAACAATGTTATATCATCAGTGTTTGGAGAGTTTGTTCAGTCAGGCTCATTTGCAATCATTATTATTATCATTATTATTGTTGTTATCATCATAACTATTACTATTATTGTCATCATTATCACAATTTTTATTATCATTATCAACGGGTCGGCTGGTATAAAGAAAAAAAAAACCGGCAACAACTGTGTTACGAGTTCGATGGTTGAGTGGTAGGTGATTTGCAGTCTAAACAGAACGCAGGGTTGTCGGGACAGCAACAAGAAGGTTTATTCCAAAATGAACGTAGTTTCCACTTGATAAACTTCACACTGGTACGTAACTCGATAAACTTACACGGCCTCCGCCAACTTTGATCAACTTGAAAATTACTCACGGCCTCCGCCGACTTCGATAAACTTGTAAATATTCACGGCCTCCGCCGAATTCATCAAACTCTGTCTCGTCACCCTTGACTGATCACGACTAACTCTCTTCGCTTGTGAAAACTTAGTTAAAACTTCGCTCAACCTATCCTACTTATATACTTACACAATAAAATTCTATAACTTTTTAAAAAGGGTCTAATTATAGTAATGCAGTAAATGGTTTGAACCCGGGGGTAACATGTGAAGGTGTAGTCTGATCGTCCGGGTGAGTGTAGTCCTGAGAAAGACTGTTGTCGGTGGTAGTGACTGACGTTTCGACAACCTGTGCGGAAGTCATGATGCAGACTAATTATAGTAAGATTACAAAATATACCGCTTTTAGAAACGATTACATAATATCCTAAAATAAACAAGCCATGACCTTTCGCGAAGTTTTAAGAAGGTCATGCATGTCACGCAACGCTATTTTTCGTAACAAACTGTCTTGATAAACTGACCTCGAGTAACCAGTTGATACAAAACTTACAAACTGAGTTTAAAAAAGTGAAAATTATGGAAATGTTTAAATCGGTCTTTTTTTCATTTCTTCTTTCTTTCCTCGATATCCTGGAATTTGGCAACTTACTAACTTGCCATATTCATTGTTGTATCTAATTTTTTTTGTTCTTGGAAAAACAATTGACGAATCCACCGGCTAAATCGGTCAAGAAAAGTTAGCTAAATCGCAAGCAAGAATCGTACTCAAGCAAATGTTTAGTTTGTATTTGCGACATGACTGCGTTTAAAATTCCAGAAATAAAGTTACTATAATATGTAGGAGGGCAGGGAAAAAAAGCATAGAAAACAATAAAAAAAAAAAAAAGATAACAACAACGGAATTGAAAAACAGACCAAAACAGCACAACCACCCCCAGTCACTCTCTCCCACACAAAGAAATGTTGAAGTAATTATACTAGCAAGAAGTTCTCATCGAGAGAAATAAGGAACGAACAAGAAAACAACGACTGTCGTGATAAACTTTGAGTAACGAGTTGATTTAAAACTTATTAACTGAGTTCAACTGAATGAGACCTCTTCTCATTCATTTCTTTCTTTCGTCGATTTCCTGAAATTTGACAATTTACTAAATTGCAATAATCATTGTATAATTCAAAATTATTTTGTTCTTGGAAAAACATCTGATTAGTCCACTTTCTAAATCGGTCAAGCAAAGTTAGCTAAGTTGCAAGCAAAAATCGTACTCCAGCAAACGTTAAGTTTATATTTACAGCTTGCTTACGTCTAAAATGCCAGAAGTAAAGTTACCTTGCTATCTGGGAGGGCGGAGAGAATAAGCAGAAAAGCATAGAGAAGAATAATAAAAGAGACGGACAACAACAACAAAAAGAACAACAAAAATCAGAAAACAGCACAATATGCTACAGTCATTCCGTCGCACACAAAGAAATCTTGACTAAAACGAACAGTGCAATGGTGTATTCTCCGCTTACCTCTTTTAAGAAGCCTTTCACTTGTGAGAGATCCTCAAATGACTACTTGTTTTCAAACGAGTGGTTTTATTGTCAATAGACATTTATAATTTATACTCAAAAACGGCCATTTCAAGATCTTGAAAACACGCAGGCTTCCTTTTTCAGTTCCATTAATGAGCAAGCAAATAAACTCTCGCCCTTAGCAATGATGCAAGAATAATGAATGAGGGGTAAATAGTTAGTTAAACCTTAAAAATTTAGGAACGATGGTAAGGAGGTTTATATAATCTCATAGAAGAGATCAGAAACGAGGAATTAAAATTACCAATTTTATTTTTCTTTATGACCCTTTTTCCACTTTTCTGTCCCTTTTCGTAAATAACGAGAAAACAAAAAAAAAAACCCTGTGGTTTTGCTTGAGGAAATCGTGAAAAAAAGTTTAAAGCTTTTTCCCACAAAGCGTCATGTTTGTCAACACTTTATTTAAGTTAGTCAGTGACTAAGGCTGGTTGTTAATCAAATAAAGAAAATGACATGGTCGCTGATATAATGTAGCTCATTTTAAGAAAGTATTTGTATGTGCTGTTTTCAGTCAAGATCAAGAGAAAATTTTCACTTCGCTTCCTTGAAAGTATGCTTAACCTTATATTAAAAGGGATAAATGTACAAAAACAAGTAAAGGAAGGTAGGAAGTAAAGGTTTTTTTTTCAATTTTACGAAAGTTCAATTAGTGGGTTTGTCTTATTGGCTTCCCCCTTACCGTGCCTCTTCAAATATCATAAACTGATTGAAGGAATTCAACAGGTTTAGATTTTTCACTGGATGATTCTGAAAATATTAATTAACATGTCCATGGTTTGGTTTATTTGTTTTTATTTTCATGGTGTAATAAGGTCATAAGTAGAACTTTGCATTTTTCGCATTTTTTCCAATGGAGTTTACTGGTAACAATATTATTAAAAACTGCTTCGCTAAAGGAATAGGCCCCAGACCTATTCTGGAACATAGTAACAGCCTTAACCGATTAAGAGAACAAGATTCCTCAGCACAACGAAATGGCAGAATTTACTGACATAATTTAAGATGCCTTTTAGAGAGCACAACTTTCCAGATTAGTTTGCAATTCTTCATTAAGACATTAAAAGATATGTTCAGTTCAAATTGGGAACCACACAAACTTAGTTTTTTTGTCCCCTACAGCCAAAGGTAATTCCTCAGAAAAAAAAAAAAGTTATCGAACACCTTTTCCAAAACCTTCTTAAATGTTTGCTTATATCAACTAAGTTGAAATTGAAAATTGGCCACCGTAACGAATAAAAAAGCTGACGTTTCGAGCGATAGCCCCTCGTCAGAGCAAATGGAG